AAAAAATAAGGGTCCATTGACACCTAAAAAATATTTTAAAAACTCTGTTGTTAAAATGATATTTCACTGTTGTGATAATTCATCTATAAGGCAATTATTTTGACATAATGTAAGTGGTACATGAAAATTTAACTTGCTTAGATTTTAAGGAATATGAGAAGTGTTTCCACATACATCTGTCTACTCATGCTATTGTTAACTGAGAGAACATGTAAAGTCATCAGGTGGTCTAAGAGAGAGAGCCAATAATTTGGAATAATTTACCAATTTTCAATATTGTAAGGTACCTTGTTCTTATTAAGTATGATAATAGCAAGTTAGAGGCCTAGTGAATAAGTAAATAATAAATTGTATACTTTTTATAATGTATCTGAGTACATACTTCAAAAAACAAAGTGAGTATAGAGTGAGTAACCAAGAGAATTTCCTCATTTGAAAAGGAAAACAACAATAATAAACCAATCATCTGTCCTGGTAGGATTCTTTAAAATAATTTATAATTAAAATATAGTCCTTTACATACTTATTCAAGAAATTAGCAGTAATCTAAAAGAAAAAATTAAAAGGCAGTTTTTTTTTTTAAAATAAATGAACTGCAATTCCCAATCAGGTTGAAATTAATTTGGAAGTCTGATGTTCTATCCCAGTAGATCAGTGGGTTTCTTATTTCTTATCAGTGGGTTTCTTATTATATGTTCTATCCCAGTAGATCAGAGGGCTTGGGAGAATTAGTGAATTTCAAAATAGCCAATTTAACTCATTTAGCCACAGGTCTGGCATGGTAATTACAAGGAACTGATCTTAATTTCTTTCCTCCATTACCTACCTTCCTTTCCTTACTTGCCTCCCAATGAATTAGACATATAGTTACAAAATATCTGACTTAGGGTGTATGCTGGCCTAAGTCATATACAACACAACAGTAGTGAAGAAGGGAAGGGATGACTGGTTCTATCTTCCAACTTAATGTCATAAAGAAAATTTAATATATATTTGGTTTTTTTTTTTTTAGATCTTCTGCTTAACTCCTAGTATCACAAAAGAGTCCTTCACTGTATACTTTTATATAAAATATTTTTTACCATTGAATTTTGATGTTACCAAAGGAGAGCTTAGTGACTTGTGCTTCTTGGAATGCCATAGTTTGATAAGTCAGGGGAGGATGTCACTACCTGATGAGAGCACACGCTGTGTGTTTTCCAAGGTCTTTTCCAAGGCCCTTCTGGATGATTGAGGCAAGCTCTTCAGCTAATGGAGAGCCACATCCTTTCTCCCTCCTCTTACTCTGCCCACCTTTGCTGGTCTCAGGGTCGGTCAAGTCCTCCAGGAGAAGTTGTAGGGAGAAGAAATGAGAGCAAAACGTGTCCATTCCAACATTTGCAGGGAGTCAACCCATCATCAATCTTGGGGTGTGCTGTTGAACCATTTTTCTGGATCATTTTCTTTTGTAAACACAGTCCCTTTAGTTTCTGTTTCAACTCATATTTTCTACCAGGATTCATAGTTTAAAAGATGACTTGAAGAGCTAACTTACACATTTCCAAATATAAGTATACCCAAGGTCAAAATAAACCAACATTTTTAAAAATTATAAATATGTACCTGATGGCATCACATTTTATAAATTAGCTATAGTTTGTTTATAATTCACACAAAATTTCCCATCATTACTAGGAATGACTGAAAGAAGTACAAAAACTTTCATTGACTCCTTGAGAATTATGAAGTCATTTGCGCCAGAGAATTATGAAGTCATTTGCGCCAGTACTTCTCAGTACTTCTTTCAGGAATGACTGAAAGAAGTACAAAAACTTTCATTGACTCCTTGAGAATTATGAAGTCATTTGCGCTATTCCCCAAAACCATCATGGACAAAAATGTGAACAGGATAATACAAATTTTTGAAAATATTTTAATATTTGCCATTTTTGTTGCCTGTGCTATTAGTATACACATTGATTCAGTAATAAATATGCTACCAATACAGAGAGTGCAATATTTTTAGTACTTATAACTGGTTGAAATTAATGCTGCTATTACCTCAGGAAAGGGATAAATAAATATCATGCCCAAATTCCAAACCCATGATCAAGAGGTTATCATTAACAAAAACTATAAAATAAACATGTTGGGCATTATCTTTTTAAGCATGATTACTGTAAACATAGCAAAGATCACTTTTCTCAGTCCTGGCATTTTATGTGATGGCTTTAAAAGAAAACATAATGTACAAATCCTGTCACTTAATTTTTTTTTGCATAGGGAATGAATTAATTCTATTTTAAAATGCAGCAATCTTAATGAAATGTCTTCATCGCATAGCACTTGTTTTCTGTATGAATTCAGAACTTTTGAGCAATAAAAGTGCTCTGCATAAATTTATAAAATGCTTTCTGGATTTAAAATTCAACAGAAAAATTTCAAAACAAGTCATAGGTATGATTCTAAAATATTATGTACATAATATTTGACTACAGGAGGGAATACCTCACTGTAGCACAACACAGTGTACACATACGAAGCACAGTGTTGAGTAAAATTTCCCTTTAGTTTTCCCTCAGATTGGTGCATAAGTGGCTAATGACACATTATACAAAGCACCCCATTCTACTTGTTGCATACAAAGCAGAAGAGGGATGTGAGGACAAATTTAAAATAGATAATGGAAAAAAACCCAGCAAACATACAGTACATATGCTTTCAACAGTGCACTTTATAAAACAGATTGATTTATTCACACTCTTCTATAAAGTGCAATATTACTTAAAACAAAGGGACATGTACCTTAATATTTTGCAATGATATTTAAAATTAATTACCAGGAAAAGGCAGTGCAAAATTAAAAACATACACAACTTAGCATGCATCTCTCGTGGCTCCCAAACACAAGGCATGGGACCTCGAGTTCTAATAACTTCTTTTTTTTTTAAACATTTTAGAAAAAGATGAATAGCAAGTTATTATCATATATAACCATAAAATAAAAACAATAAGTTAAAATTCTCTCTCAAGAAATAAGTATATGCCACACACAAAATTTATTACAGAATCTTTTTCTGAAAACAGACCTCTTGCTCTGCTAAATCACTATCCAAAGGGTACAAATCTCTTAAAAACCCACCTTGTCCATCAGGCCTAGTGAAAGGCGTCAAGTCTTGTTGGCAGACATCGGAGAACCTGTGACTGACATTGTAGGCAGCGTCATCTAACAAGGACCTAGTAAATGTACAGAAACCTTTGCCCTTTCAAGAATCATCCTGTTGGTATCATGCTAGGTTGTTAAGGGTATCACAAATGCTCCATTCACAGTGACATTCCCTGTTCAGTGCTCTTGTTCAAGGATAACCAAACAGTTTTCCTGAAAAAATTCACTAGGAGCAGATCCCAATGAGACCAACGGAACACATTCTTTAAAGCACAGACCACCACCTCAGGATCATGCTGAGGGAGAGCAAGGTGCCACGGCCACGGAGGACATTCCTACCATGCACATGTCGGTCTCTCAGTCCGAGAACTGGAAGAGGCTCTCTGGGTTAGTGCTATCAGCAGGGTTGCTGGGCTGCAGGGTCTTGGTGGGCGTAGTTTTGCCATGGGAATGGGAGGAGGAAGAATGGCAGCTCTCGCTGGAGCTGCTGCGGGTCTCTGTACTGGTGCTGGTCTTTTTCATTTTCCTTCTCTTAGCCAATGGGGCCTTATCGACATTCTGAAGGCAAAATCCTTCTCTCTTGTATTTGTTAAAGGCCTAGGGGAGAAAAACAGGGAAGGTAAAAATATTGACATTTTTGAAATGGATGGAACTGGAGCATAGCATACTAAGTGAAATACGCCAATCCCCCCAAAACCGAAGGCCAATTGTCCTCTCTGATAAATGGAGGCTAGCCCCAAACAAGGGAGGGTGGGAAGGGGAAGAATAGAAGTCCTTTGGATTAGACAAAGGGGATGAAGGAAAGGGAGGAGGGAGGAGAATAGGAAGGACAGTAGAAGGAATCGGACATAACTTTCCCAGCCTCCTATCTGAATACACGACCAGGGTAACTCTATATCATGACAGCCATGATAGGATCCTCATTAGAATAAGTGACACTCTGTCTATGTATAATATGCCAGAATACATTCTACTGTCATGTATAACTAAAAAGAACAAAAGAAAAAAGTATTGACATTTTTGCAGTAAATACAACTTATAGCAGAGGAAAACTTCCTGTGGCAACCATAGCTCTAAGGCTGTTCTGAGAACAAAACTTTTATACCCAAACCTGCTGCAGGGAAGAGAAGCTCATGGGAAAAGAATTCTGAGTTTCATCACACCAGCCAGGCTGTCCAGGAGTCAGGATTTCATTTGTTTATTTATTTTGTGGCACTGGGGTTCGAACCCAGGACCTTGTGCATGCCAGGCAAGGCACTCTATCCTTGAGCTACACCTCCACTCATTTAATAAATCTTTTTAAGAAGTTAGTGTTACATCTCAGTGAGAAACCACTGACTAACTGGAAAGTCTTGAAGAACATCAGTCATCTGAAGCAACAATCCTTTCTGTTACTTTTACTGGTTTCATGTCTAAGATTGAAACTTCCAGCCACAAAATTCCAACACAGAGCAGATTCAATCCATTGTAGGTCCTTGCTCTGTACACCCAGTGCAACGTCACTTGAGCTTGTTTTAGTCACTTAATATTACACAGAGAATCATAGCTCTGCAAATCCCACCCCAGCTTCTTCCTCACAGCAGCCTGTCTTGATCCTTCTTAGCTCAAGTGTGGGCAGTGGTGCAGGCACCTTGACAAACTCGCATCATGGTCATCACTGAGAAGACCTGGATCACATGGCCTAAATTCCTTTTTTTAAAAAAAGATATATTTATTTATTTATTTATTTTTAGTTGTAGTTGGACACAATACCTTTATTCCATTCATTTATTTTTATGTGGGCTGAGGATGGAACCCAAGGCCCCATGCATGCTAGGCGAGTGCTCTACTGTTGAGCCACAATCCTAGTCCAGATGACTTAAATTATTGCAGCTACTTTCCAACATTTTCTGGTTTGTTACTTTTTAAATTTTATTATTATTATTTTCAGTGCCAGGGATTGAACCCAAGGCCTCACACATGTTAAGCAAGTGCTCTACCACTGAGCTACATACCCAGCCCCTATTTTTCTTTTCTTTTTTTGGGTAGTACTAGGGATTGAACCCAGGGCTCTCACAGCTAGGCAGATGCTCTACCACTAAGCTACATCCCCAGCCCTTTTTATTTTGAGATAGGGTTTTGCTAATTTATGCAGGCTGGATCTGAACTTTTGGTTTTCTTGCCTTAGACTCTCAAATAGCTAGGCTTACAGGTGTTCACTACCATGTCCAGCTATGACTTCTAAAATCAAATCCTGGTGCTGATGGCTCAACATAAGTCTGTTAGAGAAAATTTTTAAATCTCTCTACCCCATTATTTCTTACGATAATTATCTTGATATAATTGTATTTGCTTGACACAAGGGTACATAATGTGGTTATCATCATGTAGTGTCAGCTTTTTAAGGATACAGTCTATATTTATACAATTAACTCACTTCAACTCCCTCAGTCCTAGACTATGACATGCACTAATGGGTAGACTGTTGAATGAATAGACTTTTCTTATGTCTTAGTTCCTAACATTTAGTTATGGTTTAAAAACATGATTTTGTTTGGGGGAAAAACTTTTTTATTATGTATGCTTGTTTAAGTTGTTTTCATTACTTATTAAAATCTTTCAACTATTCAAACATCAGATTACTGTCTCCTCTTACAAACTCATTCTAAACACCAAATAAGTACTTTGTATATTCTTTTTTTAATAAAATATTTTTTAGATGTTAATGGACCTTTATTTAATTAATTTATTTATATGTGGTGCTGAGAATTGAACCCAGTGCCTCACACATTCTAGGAGAGTGAAGCAGTTTATAAAAATTAAAGCAGTTTATTATGAAGCAGTATGAAGCAGTTTATAAAAATTAAAAGGTGAATATATTGTAAATGTGTTAACAGACAGCATGTCTCTGAGAATACCAAATAAGAACATGTGGTTATGGGTCAGGGGTTTTGGCTCAGTGGCAGAGCGCTTGCCTAGCATGTGTGAGGCACTGGGCTCACTCCTCAGTATCACATAAAAAATAAGTAAATTAAATTAAATAAAGGTATTGTGTCCATCTGCAACTAAAAATGTTAAAAAAAAGAAATGTGGTTACAATCCCATTTCAAACCGCCTGCCACGTGCGTAGTGCAGAGCCTCACATGGAAGGTTGCTTTCACACAGGTGTGCACGGCAGCTCCCGAAGATCCCAGAATGTCTGGAGTCATCAGAGGATTCGAGGACAGCTGACTGCCATCTTGAAGCCATTCATTGTATCTCAAGCCAGACATTTTAAGTCTTTTATTTGGATCAACAGTGAGAAGTCCTGTGGGAATAAATAATATATTTTAAGGTTTGCCATTTTAAACCTGGTTTAAACATCTATCTCAGACATAAATTTCAATTATGTTCATGACATGAAGATTTCAATGAGGCTTCAACTTCCTACAAAGATAATTACTTTTTTAAAAAAA